AGTAATAATTAACAGACAGACTTGAGTAAAACCATACTAGAGGAATTAAAATGATACCTAAGTGAACAACAGCAATAAAAGAATATATGTATGAGTTATGCCAAAACTCATTCACGAGCCAGTAATTTTATTGCAGATTCTGCAGATTAATGTGTTATAAATATACAGTAAAATTCAAAGTCCATACCATTTTTGTTGTTATCTGCTTGATGTATATATAGGCTGAAATGAAACTACAGTATTCGATTTCACTATGAACGCACAGAAAACATATCGCACTCTGTATCTCAGCCATGATACAACTGCCTCTTCACGACCCTAGAAAGGGCAATAATCTCTTGCAGCTATAATGGAAGGTCTTAGCACTGAAGAAGGGACCCCTCTAGCTTTCTCTTAAATAGCCATTCTTTCATTCTTCTGTCCTTTAGTCAAAAGATTAAAAAATCTGAAGAGTGTAAGTAGTGCTAGCAGAAGACCAAATGATTTTATTGCTTCCATCTGTTTTATGACACCAGGGACTGCTAAAATTTGTCAAGTATTACAAGCAGTACTGATTTTATAATGCAGAACAACTCTGTAAAGAACTGGGGAAACCATTTTTGCAGTACGCATCAAAATTAAAAAAAAAAATTGAAAATAGAGTACAACTCTTTGTACAAAAATTTTCAAATCTTCTGTTATAATATGCAACACTATGTTCTTTGCTGATACAAACAAAGTTAATACCATCGATTTATCATAAAAATTGAGTTAGATACAGCATTTTTAAACACAATGCTTAAAATTGTTTAAGCGCCATAACAGGAACAGACATTTAAACGCAGAGTAGCAACAGGCATTTAAACGCGCACCAGCAGCGAGCATTTAATTAAACTCCGGCCAGCTCAAGCTTACCATCATTCCAAAAGTCCGGCATTTAAAGGTTAAATCAGTTAAACCTTTCAAGTACACTGCTACATCTTAAGGCTTCATCACCACAGACAGTTTTTAACATTTTGTAAATTTCTCTTGGCGTTTTACCCAGTTTAAAACAGAATTTGGCATTCTCTCCTTGTTCTGTGACTAAAAAAATCACAGCAGTTAAAAATAAAACTAACTCACTGAGCTGCTACTCATGACCTGTCAATCGATGGACTTGATGAGCCCTAACAAATGTTGGTAAGAGGTACAACTACACTTAATTCACAGTTGTTTGTTTCACCATCACCTAATGAAAATGCTACAACACCAATTTAGGATCTTAACTGCCAAACCTCATGCATCTTTGGTGCACATTCAGAGTCAGCCCAGAACACATACTGAGAAAGTGGCTCATGGGTTCCAAGACCATCAGTGAAATGGTATTACAATTTCCTGTCCATTTAAGTGATATTATCTATATAACTAAAAGAATAACTGTTCACATCTTAAAGAAATATAATCAAACATTTTTAATATTTACTTAAGGATGAATAATTAAGACAATTAGAGTCCTGCATTATAATGCATAAAAATTTATAATACACTGATTGCCTTAAAACTAAATTTGCTTTAACACAATTACTCCATAAATTAAAACTGCTATTAATTGAAATACACTGTAGACAGACATTCACACACACATACAAATATCAAATATATATCCAGTTTCTATTTATTTTATATTTCATAAACTGACAAGACAGAATATTTACACTCTTATACATCTTTATAGTACATTTTAACCCGCTCCAACTCCTTAGAAGTGCCATTTAACCAGTACCTTACAACATGTACAATGCTTTTCTTATTTTGTGGATTTAGGCAATGCGATGACCAGATCTGAATAGCAGAGTAAATACTGCACTTCTTCCTGGCTGATACAAAGCATGAGGAACAGTGACTCATATATCTCTAGATGAAACACAACACAAACAATACAATTATTTCAGTAACTTATATGTTGACTGGTTTACTTTCTTAATAGTTGTCCTAGAATATTTTAAACTCAGTAGAGAATGCAGTAGATGGAACACGTGAATGAATTACAGCAGTAAAATTTCACCTAAAAATTGGTCAAATAATATCCTACAAATAAAAAGTTACCATCATACTCATCAATTTTTGCATTACGCAGACATAACCCTCAAAAAGACCTTGTGCATTCTTTATTCCATGTTTCTCACCTACATTCAGTAGAAACTAAGCAGGAAATTTATTTCAAAAACATAGTAAACTATTAAATATATATGGCACATGCAAGAGTAACCATGGCAGGTGATATAACCAGCAGGAGACAGGGAAATCTGAGAGTCACAAATCCACCACAGAGTGCTATAAAAACTTCCTTTTGGAGGGTTACTAAAATAGATGTAATTGATAGGGCGATTTTTTTTTTTGACATTAAGTATCATTTTACCTACAAATATTATGATTTGGATACCAACATGCAGGAATTAACAAAATGGATACTAACAATAACATTCTTTTTCAACATTATTATGTTTTCTAATCTAAATGTTACAATTTTTATGATGGAGCATAAAACTTATTAAAATCTGAAATTAAATTATAAGAAGGCTAAAGAAATAAGTGATTCCAATATATGATTTCACTTACTTTATATTAAATCAGCCTTAATGTTTTGTATCCACGATCTGCAGTGGAAACAGATTGCTCTCCCATTCAATTTAGTGATTCCATCTCATACTTAATAGCATGAAAAGAATGTGACTGCATGTAAAACTGTAATTAATGTGCAATCTATTTTCAAATGACAGGGATCAGAGGGAATACATGGCATGACCATTCTCCATTCTGATACTCTTATCTACTTAAACTTCATTGTTACTTTGCACATCAGATTTTTCCTTGCCATATTAAAATTCTTCTCATATTTCTGGATCAACTGTATTTTGTTATTCTACAAAAGCTTAAGATATAGATCCATTCCTTTCTGTAATATTTAGCTGTTCCATTATTATTATTGCTTTTGGGATATGTTTGAATTTGTAATCCATTTTAAAGAATTAAAATTTAAAAAGCGAATGCAATATAAATAGCATGATAATGCATAATTTATATCAATATTTGCAGTCTAGGTAACATAATTTGTTCTTTAGTATAACAAGTCAACTGAATAACAAGCTGTGGTCATCAGATAGAGAACTGTAACAAAAATAACCTGAATATGACATGCAATGAATCCAATAAAACTAAAATCATGTGTATTTACAGGTGTTAAATTGTTTCAGTCACAACATTATGTCAAAAAATTAATTTAATTTCCAATTCCCAAAGAGTTAGTATGAATTTGATATACTTCTGAGTTTGTCATTCCTGTGCACTTGCTATATTTGGAACTGAGGAAAAGCAGAATAAATAGTAATTATGCAAATAAAGTGTTGATTTGGGGGGGGGACAAGAATAGTAACATTCTTCCAGAATTGTTTTGGTTTCAGACAAACTCTACACATGTTTCTGCACATATTATAATATGACTGGAAGAAATTTCAAAGCCAAGCACGTCAAATAATTTAAAATCTTATATTATCCTTTTATTAATTCTTACAGCCAACTTATTTCCATTATCAGTTTCAGAATTTTAATACACANTCCTAAATATTTATTTTTAAAAGTAATAATTAACAGACAGACTTGAGTAAAACCATACTAGAGGAATTAAAATGATACCTAAGTGAACAACAGCAATAAAAGAATATATGTATGAGTTATGCCAAAACTCATTCACGAGCCAGTAATTTTATTGCAGATTCTGCAGATTAATGTGTTATAAATATACAGTAAAATTCAAAGTCCATACCATTTTTGTTGTTATCTGCTTGATGTATATATAGGCTGAAATGAAACTACAGTATTCGATTTCACTATGAACGCACAGAAAACATATCGCACTCTGTATCTCAGCCATGATACAACTGCCTCTTCACGACCCTAGAAAGGGCAATAATCTCTTGCAGCTATAATGGAAGGTCTTAGCACTGAAGAAGGGACCCCTCTAGCTTTCTCTTAAATAGCCATTCTTTCATTCTTCTGTCCTTTAGTCAAAAGATTAAAAAATCTGAAGAGTGTAAGTAGTGCTAGCAGAAGACCAAATGATTTTATTGCTTCCATCTGTTTTATGACACCAGGGACTGCTAAAATTTGTCAAGTATTACAAGCAGTACTGATTTTATAATGCAGAACAACTCTGTAAAGAACTGGGGAAACCATTTTTGCAGTACGCATCAAAATTAAAAAAAAAAATTGAAAATAGAGTACAACTCTTTGTACAAAAATTTTCAAATCTTCTGTTATAATATGCAACACTATGTTCTTTGCTGATACAAACAAAGTTAATACCATCGATTTATCATAAAAATTGAGTTAGATACAGCATTTTTAAACACAATGCTTAAAATTGTTTAAGCGCCATAACAGGAACAGACATTTAAACGCAGAGTAGCAACAGGCATTTAAACGCGCACCAGCAGCGAGCATTTAATTAAACTCCGGCCAGCTCAAGCTTACCATCATTCCAAAAGTCCGGCATTTAAAGGTTAAATCAGTTAAACCTTTCAAGTACACTGCTACATCTTAAGGCTTCATCACCACAGACAGTTTTTAACATTTTGTAAATTTCTCTTGGCGTTTTACCCAGTTTAAAACAGAATTTGGCATTCTCTCCTTGTTCTGTGACTAAAAAAATCACAGCAGTTAAAAATAAAACTAACTCACTGAGCTGCTACTCATGACCTGTCAATCGATGGACTTGATGAGCCCTAACAAATGTTGGTAAGAGGTACAACTACACTTAATTCACAGTTGTTTGTTTCACCATCACCTAATGAAAATGCTACAACACCAATTTAGGATCTTAACTGCCAAACCTCATGCATCTTTGGTGCACATTCAGAGTCAGCCCAGAACACATACTGAGAAAGTGGCTCATGGGTTCCAAGACCATCAGTGAAATGGTATTACAATTTCCTGTCCATTTAAGTGATATTATCTATATAACTAAAAGAATAACTGTTCACATCTTAAAGAAATATAATCAAACATTTTTAATATTTACTTAAGGATGAATAATTAAGACAATTAGAGTCCTGCATTATAATGCATAAAAATTTATAATACACTGATTGCCTTAAAACTAAATTTGCTTTAACACAATTACTCCATAAATTAAAACTGCTATTAATTGAAATACACTGTAGACAGACATTCACACACACATACAAATATCAAATATATATCCAGTTTCTATTTATTTTATATTTCATAAACTGACAAGACAGAATATTTACACTCTTATACATCTTTATAGTACATTTTAACCCGCTCCAACTCCTTAGAAGTGCCATTTAACCAGTACCTTACAACATGTACAATGCTTTTCTTATTTTGTGGATTTAGGCAATGCGATGACCAGATCTGAATAGCAGAGTAAATACTGCACTTCTTCCTGGCTGATACAAAGCATGAGGAACAGTGACTCATATATCTCTAGATGAAACACAACACAAACAATACAATTATTTCAGTAACTTATATGTTGACTGGTTTACTTTCTTAATAGTTGTCCTAGAATATTTTAAACTCAGTAGAGAATGCAGTAGATGGAACACGTGAATGAATTACAGCAGTAAAATTTCACCTAAAAATTGGTCAAATAATATCCTACAAATAAAAAGTTACCATCATACTCATCAATTTTTGCATTACGCAGACATAACCCTCAAAAAGACCTTGTGCATTCTTTATTCCATGTTTCTCACCTACATTCAGTAGAAACTAAGCAGGAAATTTATTTCAAAAACATAGTAAACTATTAAATATATATGGCACATGCAAGAGTAACCATGGCAGGTGATATAACCAGCAGGAGACAGGGAAATCTGAGAGTCACAAATCCACCACAGAGTGCTATAAAAACTTCCTTTTGGAGGGTTACTAAAATAGATGTAATTGATAGGGCGATTTTTTTTTTTGACATTAAGTATCATTTTACCTACAAATATTATGATTTGGATACCAACATGCAGGAATTAACAAAATGGATACTAACAATAACATTCTTTTTCAACATTATTATGTTTTCTAATCTAAATGTTACAATTTTTATGATGGAGCATAAAACTTATTAAAATCTGAAATTAAATTATAAGAAGGCTAAAGAAATAAGTGATTCCAATATATGATTTCACTTACTTTATATTAAATCAGCCTTAATGTTTTGTATCCACGATCTGCAGTGGAAACAGATTGCTCTCCCATTCAATTTAGTGATTCCATCTCATACTTAATAGCATGAAAAGAATGTGACTGCATGTAAAACTGTAATTAATGTGCAATCTATTTTCAAATGACAGGGATCAGAGGGAATACATGGCATGACCATTCTCCATTCTGATACTCTTATCTACTTAAACTTCATTGTTACTTTGCACATCAGATTTTTCCTTGCCATATTAAAATTCTTCTCATATTTCTGGATCAACTGTATTTTGTTATTCTACAAAAGCTTAAGATATAGATCCATTCCTTTCTGTAATATTTAGCTGTTCCATTATTATTATTGCTTTTGGGATATGTTTGAATTTGTAATCCATTTTAAAGAATTAAAATTTAAAAAGCGAATGCAATATAAATAGCATGATAATGCATAATTTATATCAATATTTGCAGTCTAGGTAACATAATTTGTTCTTTAGTATAACAAGTCAACTGAATAACAAGCTGTGGTCATCAGATAGAGAACTGTAACAAAAATAACCTGAATATGACATGCAATGAATCCAATACAACTAAAATCATGTGTATTTACAGGTGTTAAATTGTTTCAGTCACAACATTATGTCAAAAAATTAATTTAATTTCCAATTCCCAAAGAGTTAGTATGAATTTGATATACTTCTGAGTTTGTCATTCCTGTGCACTTGCTATATTTGGAACTGAGGAAAAGCAGAATAAATAGTAATTATGCAAGTAAAGTGTTGATTTGGGGGGGGGACAAGAATAGTAACATTCTTCCAGAATTGTTTTGGTTTCAGACAAACTCTACACATGTTTCTGCACATATTATAATATGACTGGAAGAAATTTCAAAGCCAAGCACGTCAAATAATTTAAAATCTTATATTATCCTTTTATTAATTCTTACAGCCAACTTATTTCCATTATCAGTTTCAGAATTTTAATACACAGTCTGATACATTTTGGTATACAAAAAAAGTGCAAAATATTTTTCAGTTATATTCTCAGTTTAGTTTTGTTATTCCAATTCATTAGCATACATGCCTCAAAAACTTGAAAAATGCATTACCATGGAAATATATGACAAAAACTGGAGTACAACAAGGTCTCTCCATCAGGCAAATGATTCAAAAACACTGACATCTTATTCTCTGAAATCTAGCATTCAAAATAACACTACTCAGAGCAAACCTACTTCCCAAGAGCAATAAGAATCAGAACATCCACAACATAATCTTAATATTAAGTAAAAGAGCACTGGAATGCAGAATGTATCCAGGCCAAGCTGTCACACAAGGAACAGAGAAAGCTCACCAAAATAAAATTATATAATTAAAAACATAACTGTTACACACTCAAATTTAAATAGCATTCAACATATATACAAAGTGATTATTATTTTCTATTGTTATTAATATAATTATATATATATGTATAGAATGTAATGTTTTTACTAGCATTACAGATACTTAGGCAGAAGTATTTATTCATAATGAACTATGAAATTATTTTATACACTCTCAACAACTATCAACAGTTACTTCCCTAGCAGCTGTAAAATCAGCTACTGCATAGGTACACAAACTCTGTTGAGTTAAATCAAATACTTTGGTTTTGATAATCCCTTACACACAATTTATACACAATTCAATTCTATTTTTTCTCCAGGTTTGATTTTCTGTTATAATTATATTACAAACACTGTGCAATAAAAATGCATGAAACTTAAACCTTTTATCACTGGGAATGTTGGCAACAATAACAGCAGCAGCTGAAGTGATTTAAGGCTCCTCAGTAAGGTATAAAATCATAGATTAGATATAAGCATTCAATGGTATAAAGTAGATAAAATGTAAAATTATATTTCTCACGATGCACCTAACCACAAAATTGTAAATAGAAGCAGGAGGTGTATTCATAACCCCAACGCTAGATGGAGAGATTGTTTTGCCTGCCTTGGAACTCATTTGGGTTGGAAAGCTGTGATCTGAAGATGATGAAAGAGAGAAAAATCGAAATCCTCCACTGGCATCAAATCATAGCTGTCCAGTTCCAAGCAAGTCACTTTATGAAGATACCTCACATCAGCATGAATATATCATGGCAACACAGATCAGGAAGTGATACTGCAGAAGAAATGTCAACATGACATTGGATTAACTATGCGGTAGTTTAATGTACAGCTTTGAGAAATCTGAAATTTATTTTCAATAATTTTTATTAATGAAGTCTAAATTCAAGATGAAAATTTCACATCTACATATATTTTAAGCATGTTGTCATTCATGTTATTTCAGGATATTAAATTTACAGTCAGCCCCACATTATTGTTTACCAGCCAAAATATTTGGCTCCCAAAATTAAAAAAGCTATTGCTCTCAGCTTAACACTCTTGAGGGTCTCCAGTGTCTTGGTAACATCACCAGTGACAGATGTTTCTGCATCCTTATTAACCATCTTTGGTACAGGTTAAGTTATGACCAGTAAAAAAGTAAACCTCTGATTAGCAACAAGTAATTTCAGATAATAACTACCAATACCGATTCAAAGGAATCAGAAATCATTAGATTCAAGAAGGCACATTTTCTAAGTGTATTAACAGCTCTCTAAACTAAACTGTAGAATATGTAAAGTAGGAGAAAATTTTGATTTCTATACAGTAGAAAAACATTTTCATTTCTACACAATCAGGATTTGTTTAACTTTGTCCAAGTGGCAGCTGTAAGTTACTATTATTACTTCTTCTACTGTTCCTTTCTTAGGTATCCCACAAAGAAAATATTTGGATTTCATTCTTTACAATGAAACAAAAATCACTAAAAACACCTGCTTGCATCAATAACCAGAGTAAGGCCTGTATGTATGACTTCATTCAGTAACAAATTTCAATTGTGATATTCTTTGCTATTTTAGTCAGTTATTACAGAGTAATAATGAAAAATGTTTCCTTTAATAGAAATATGAAATTGCCCAGAAGTAAGTTATTCAAATTATGTATCAAATCCGGTCACTACCATGTTAATATGTGATCGTCCATTAAGAAAATGTTTTGACTGCATTTTTAAAGTTTGTATTGTTAACAACTGTTCTAAAAGTGTTGTAACATATCACTGTGCATCACTCCAGAAATTCGCTAACCAGCTCAGAAGTCACAATTAATTATCAACATACACAAATTAGAATTCCACTTTTCATAAAAGTTTTAGCACAGCGCATAGACTGCTTTCCTGTCATAATGTTTAAATTTCAGTATATTCTAAATCTAAAATACCTTCCTTCTTCTAAATATTGTTGCAGAGCTGCTTAGAAAATACTTCTGGAGAGTTATTATCGGGCATCTTTTGTTACTATTTTCAGAATTCAGCTGCAATATGAGAGGCAGTGATAGCTGAATGCATTTCAGACATTCATAATTTGGAATGTTTTCATTTTCTTTTTATCTCATCAGTGAAAAGTCAGATATTCCCTTGAAAAGTTAACTCTGACTGGTTAGAATTTTACAGCCTCTGAAAGTTAGCAAGTGAAATGTATGTCTTGGCATTATGTAACAGATAATGTGCATCCATTTAGAATAAAAACATACAAAAACAACACATTACATGGATTAATTATAAGAAAAATGTATTGTGCCACATAAATGTGACCTAGTTTTTTGTTATTTTCTTTTTCATTTAGAATTTTTAATGACTCCAATTTCTAACCCAATTTCAGAATTCAAACTCACAGGACACAGATGATATTCTTATCTCATTGGATTAAACAATTATTCAACGAAACACTTTTCCCCAGTGAAAAGTTGATATAATATATCTCCTATTAATTCAGATCTAGTTACAATTACATCTATAATTATTTCATGAATAATATTCAAATAAGATACAATATCCAATGCAATATACATGTATATCTGACATGTAGGGAAATTTTACTGCATAAAGACACATGATTTTACAATAAAAAATTAGTATACAAAAGCTTTTGTATATTTATCTTATATCATGATGGATAAACATAAGCAATGGATATAAGTGGAAACTCTCTCTCTCCCTCTGCTTTCCAGTTATACACAAAACAGAACTCTTTTAAATGGAAGGACATTAAAGTTTGCAAAATGCTAGAATATTCACAATGGTACAATTTAAATAAAACTCACAAATTTGAAACCAGATATTCAGATACTGCCTTTAACAACTTAGAACATGTCTACTGGGTAATAATTCCTAATCAGCATATTTGATGACTTGGTTATACAGAAGACACCATACAGACTACAAACAATCGTTTCACAAACATTAAATGCTAGGACCAATTGTATGAAAAAGCCAGAAAACTGACTTTATTTTAATAAGAATCAGTAAAAAAATGAAATACCAGCGACTGTGACTGTGCTTACTTGTATGTTTCAAATTGCTTTGTAGGAAGAGGTTAACAAAGTTCTGCTGACTCACAACTGGAAATTAAGGTAGTAAAACAATAATGTGAAGCAATTCATTTATAATGGAGATAACAGTGATATAAAAAAATATATAATTTCTGCAAGGGAGTTGCATTTGATTAACAGTTCTAGTGCCAACGCATTATCATCTTAAGACTACACTGAATTAACTGCCATGAATTCAACATATGCTTCCACATGATGCAAGTAAGTTGCGTAAAAATCATTCACTTTCAGTTAGCTTTACCATGATGTCAAACAGCAGGAAAATGTATCTTCAAAACAACTGTCCACTTTCCTGGTACATGTCAGTAGAAAGTTACCATCTCTTTACACAAACAAAGATGTCTAAAACAGCCATTTAAATCGAGAATGAAATGTGTCAAGTGTAACTGTTTCAGAAACATAAATTATAATACCATGTAAAAAAAACACACATCTAAAACTTCTTGCACTTTTAATAAAACCTTACTCTACCCTGCCTTCTTTGCAACATGGTTTACATGATATTACATCTCTAGACCACTTATGCAATCCCCTGATTTTATCACCATAATTCAAAGTTCTTTCGGTTCCATAGTAATGATGACATTATCCTTTTAGATTTGACTCAACACATAGTGAATAAATCCTCAAACAAATCATTTTACTTAATTTATGGCACCCAGGATAAAAGACCAAATATAATTGTAAAAACAGTGCCATCATATACAATACTGGGGAAAACTGTTATTAATTATCATAAATTACAAGAGATTCCTCTTCTCCTATTAAATTGAACTGTTAGTTCTGTTTAAGCTGCATTTCCAATTGTTGAAGTGTCTTTAAAATGTAATTAAATCCACACTGATGATTCAGTAATAAAGTTGAATCCACACACAAATTCTGGAAATACAAGATTCCATCATATATCTCCCAGGTACTCCACTTGACTGGACAAAGACTTTGTTTTTCTTACTGCCCTTTTCTGATTCAAACATATTTTCTCATAATCACCAGTGCTGTCTCAGTCATACAGTCTGAAGGAAAAGCAACAACTTCCTTGCAGTCTGTGAATAAACAGAAAGTGAAATAATTATGTCACTGTAACCTCTGTGAGACTTTCTGTAACCTCCAAATTTAAAGGGACTCTTTTAATAGTGAAAATAACCAGAAACATCCAGCTCTGTAAACAACCACAAAGGAAACATTCATCTGGAGTTTGAATCAAAGGTTCCATTATTACTTATTTATGTTACAGCAAAAAACTCTGTTACAATCACAAGGGTAAGACAGTGTAAGGCACTGCTGACAGAAGTATAGAAGGCCACAATCGTACCACACATCTTATACTGGACATCTAAAAACACATAATTCATAATGTAAAATCACTTCACATATCTCCTTGGACCTGTATTACTTTCTTTTTACCTCTTGTCTGCACATTTGAATTTCAATAGCTTTGTCACAATTCTATGCTAGATCAGAAATTGGTATGGTCTAGATTCAAGAACAACAGTATCCCTTGCTACAGCAATGCCTGACTTGCAGTTTTCAATTTATCCTGGTGAGTGCTAGAAGAAAAAAGTAGCTTTATTTTTTTAATTTCCCTAATATAAAACATCTTTAATGTGCCAAATTCATGATATACATCATACTGCTTATTATGAGGAGACTTCAATAAGTAAGGGCAAATTGACTGGATATTTAATAAGATTGGACACAACTTTATGAAGCTACTACAGCATGTATTTATAACTATAGGGCAGGTTCTGACAGCATGCAACCGATGGCAGGACAAGCACGATTCGAATGACAGTGTGAGAATCATGGCCGCCTTGCTAGAAAATTACACTGGAGAGAAGCAGCATTCTGTAATAAGATTTTTGTGGTCAGAAGGAGTTAAACTAAGGGAGATTCACAGAAGAATGATTCAACAGTATGGTGGAAGCTGTCTGAGTGAAAGGAAAGTGTACCAGAAGGTAGAGAGATTTCAAGAAGGCCAAACATCTATGACTGATGAACATCGCTCAGGTCACCCATGCACAACCGTCAGTGATGCAAATGTTGCTCACATGGACGCATTTATTGGTGAAAACAGGCGAATTTCTGTGGACACTCTTGCCCCTTTGTTGAACATTAGCATCAGATCTGCACATGGCATCATCCATGGGACTCTCAAATATTACTGTGTTCCAGGTGGGTGCTGAGACAAGTGACTGATGAACACAAATTGAAGAATGTGTTGAGTTTCAGAGCTTTCATGACATGCTACCATGCTGAGGGTGAAGAGTTTCTTGTGCACACTTTCATGGGGGATGAAACCTGGGTTCATTATTATGAACCAGAATCCAAAAGACAATCAATGGAATGGCAACACACATCCTCTCCCTCCAAGAAAAAGTTCAAGTTGGTACCATCTGCCAGAAAACTTATGCTAACATTGTTCTGGGATATGGATGGACCAACTCTTGAATACTATCAAGAGAAAGGACAGTCAGTCAACAGTTTAAGGTACAGCACCATGCTAGAAGAAAAAACTGAAGCCTGCAATTCACAGTCATTGTCACAGACTTCTGTCCGAAGGCATCCTCCTTCTCCAGCATGACCACGCACACTACTGCTGCTTATGCTGCTGCAGTTACCACCATCCATAAACCGAAATTTGAAACCATAAATCATCCCTCCTTACAGTTCAGACCTCGCTCCATCCTACTATCATGTGTTTGGCAAGCTTAAGGAAGCATTACAAGGACGAAAATTTCACGGCGATGATGAGGTGAAGGAGACGGTGCATTTCTGGCTTCGACAACAAGCAAAAACTCTTCTTCTTTTTTGTAATGGAATACAGAAGCTTGTGGAAAATTTTGAAAAGTGCATTGCAAAGGGTGGTGACTACGTAGAAAAATAACATCTTATTTGGATCTGCATATATGATGTGCATCTCAATATAACGCAATTTGCCCTTATTTAAGTCCCTGTGTATGTAAGGTGGTACACTACTATTTGCACCTGGTATGGTGTCATCATTACTACTGAATGAATAAATAGATGAATAAAATATTAACTGTTAAATGAGTGCTGAAACTGACATTAATATTCTTCCTTCTGATTTTATAAAACCCTTTTTACACTGTGTCTCCCTTAGCTTCTCATGATTTTCGTTGGTGGAATTTGTAGTTCTGTCATTTGTGTGAAATTTCGTATCTTTGGCATTTTCATCTGATACATAGTAATATTGGTGTTAGTTTTATAGAAATCGGTATTTTACATACATATGATATATATGAATATATTTTCCTTACCTGTGCTGTCTGTATGGAGTTTTGACTGCAATTTCCATGAAGGTTATATGTGGTGAAAGGTGGTATGTGTCTTATGGGCTTTGTAAGATAGGAGTGCTGTTATCCAGTGGCAAGAAGTTATATTTAGAAGCATGAACAAAGGGCATTCCATATATAATGCCTCCTATTTTTTTGTGTTAATATGTGATATCTGAGATGGATGTTGGCTGTGTTGTAGTAAAGGGTGAACCTTCCAACTGTTAGTTTGATTGTCATGTGACAGACAGCGACAGCAGAGCAGTCTACCAAAATGGTGTCTGACATAGAAGTGCATACGAAATAGAGATGTGTTATTGAATTTCTCACTGCCAAACAAATTGCACCCCTTTTTTTTGGGGGGGGGAACTTATTTATTAACAATCAGAATTACGTACATTCTATAGGTTAATGATTTCGCTAAGGACTATTACATGTCATGCGAGGAAAATGTCCATCAACATTACCTCTTCAGAAATNTTGATCTTCTGCCTATAAGCCAGGACATCTGCTTGGTCAGTAAATCTATTTGTTTACGTTTTTTTGTTATGTGGCATTTCCACGTCATTTTGCAGTCTAGATGCATTCCGAGGTATTTAACTTCTTCTTTGCTAGGAATAACGGTGTTATTTATATGGACGACTGTTGGTTTCTTTTTCCTTAATGTAAAGGTAATATGAACGGACTTACTTTCATTTATCTTTATTCTCCATTTCTTGAACCAATCCTGGAGGGTATCGAGATGTTGTTGTAGATGTACTGTGGCTAGCTCCAGGCTTTTATTGTTTGATAAGATCGCTGTGTCATCTGCGAACGTGCCGGTAGTGGTGTTTGTTGATGTTGGAATGTCTGATGTGAAGAGTACATATAGCATTGGACCCAGAACGCTACCTTGAGGTACACCTGCTTTAATGGGGTAAATTTCTGACGTCTCGCTTCCTACTTTGGTTTGGAAATATCGGTCGTTCAGATAAGATTTGAAGAGTTTGGGGTATGGGGGTCGAAGAGTCTTTCTGATTTTAAATAGCAAGCCGTCATGCCAGACTCTATCAAACGCTTGGTTTACGTCCAGAAACGCAGCTGTACAGTAATTTCCCGCTTCTAAGGATTTGTTGATTTCGTCGGTTATTCTATGCACTTGTTGTATAGTTGTATGTCCTGGTCGAAAGCCGAATTGGTGTTGAGGTATCCATGTATTTGTTGTGAGGTCATCCTTAATTCTGCGGAGTATGATTAAATTGCACCCATTGACATCCATCTACGCTTGCTAAAGGTGTACAGACAATACAGTGGATGTCAGCACAGTGAGGCGGTGGGTAGTGTGTTTCAACAGTGGCGAAAGTGAAGTGCACAACAAGCCATGCCCTGGGCGTCCCTGCTCAGCTGCCACTCCTCACAATGAACAGCACCTCGATCAGCTCATCCATACAGATCGGCAGATAACAACCAGAGAACTGTGTGCATGGCTTAATATCGGCTGTAATGCATTGAATATGATGTTGGGGAAGCTGGATTGTCGCAAAGTTTGTTTCAGGTGGGTCCCGCTGATGCTTACACAGGACCACAAAACTCATCGAATGGAAGTCTCTTAGGACCTGTTGCACCAGTTTGAGGCTGAAGGTGACAAGTTTCTGGACAGCATCATCACCAGAGATGAATGTGGTGTCACCACTATGAGCCAGAATCCAAAAGACTGTCCATGGAGTGGCGACACTCAGATGCCCCAAGAAAAAAGAAGTTCAAGACACAGCCATCGGCAGGGAAAGTGATGTGCACGATCTTTTGGGATAGGCAGGGTGTGATTTTGTTGGATTTCCTGGAGCCTGGTAAGACTGTCAATTCTGAATGCTACAATATGACGCTGACTAAGCTGAAAGCCAGAACTTCCCGAGTCAGGCCAGAGAAGCAGACAACCTTTCGCTTGCAACACAATAACACTAGACCCCATACCAGTTTGGCGACCCCCACACATTGCAAAGTTTGGCTGGACTGTCCTACCACATCCACCTTATAGCCCCAATTTAGCACCTTCAGACTTCCATCTCTTTGGGCCTATGAAAGATGGACTACATGAGCAACATTTTCCAAATGACGACACTGTCATTGGAGCTGTAAGAAAGTGGCTAGCCTCTGCTGGTGCAGACTTTTAGGGCGCAGCATACAGGCTCTTGTTCATCGCTGCCAAAAGTGCATAACGAATGGTGGTAATTATCTGGAAAAATAGCTGTAAGTAGCTGAAATCTTGCTCTATTTAACTGCATTATTATGCTTTCTGTATCTGTTGTAGTGTTCATTAAAACAATATGAGGCATTATATACGGAACGCTCCTCATTGTTCAGTCACATAACTGACATGTCATAAACAGATTTTTTTTCGTTTTCAGTACCATGTTCAATGTCAAGAATAGTTCTGGGGCTCAACAATTCTTATACTTAATCACGCTGGAGACTTATTCCAAGAAATAATGAAGTACAGTGTGGGAAGTATGTTGCTAACTTCCATCTAGTTCACAGATTAAGAATGTACAAAGCTTTACCTCCATGCCCATAAACAATTTCATGCCCATTTGATTAGGAACAGGAACCCGACAATTTTCAAAAGTATACAAAGCAGCGAAATTTTTATTTTAACTTCTCATTTATTGTTACAAAATGAATGAACATTGAATGCCATTTTATTTCACATACATTACACTATGTCTTCTTCATTTGTCTTCAAAGAAATAAGGACCTATGACTCTGAATTTTGCCACTCTGCGGCAAACAGTCACATACTGTTAGCAGTGTAAAGAGGCTGTTGATGGAGATGCTGTGGATTTTTCCTCTCCCTAATAGCGAAAATTCTATTTGCTGACACAGTGGAAGTGTGCTTCATCTGTCATAAGGATAATGACATTGTCAGATAAAATTCTGATTAAGCGCCCAGCTACAGTGCTACAGCTTGCCATGTCACAATCACGTAACTCTTGCACCACCACCATTTCGTATAATGGAAATTTAGATCCTTCTTTAAAATTCTCCTCATGCTGTGATCACATATTCCTACAGCAACAGATGTCTCCTGGCTGAACGCCTAGGACTCCTTTAGAATGAGTGCCTCATAGCCTCAAAGTTCTGTGGCAATTGCACTGTACGCATACTGCTTGGTGGTTTCTCTTTTAACATGAAAGTATTGGTTCCGAAGTTTTCTACCCATAACTGTATGGTATTGTAGCACGGAACTTTTCCATGACCAGCATTATTGAAATGCTTGTGAAACATTTGCTGCACTTTAACAAAGAAGTTGCCATTTTTAAAAAACGTTTCAAAAGGAGAATTAAACTGCTCCATGCCTACTGCAACGGCATCAGTGAAGCTAGCAAATGATACGGTCCCCACCATCCCATCCTCCGGGGCTGCCAACATAACGCATCTTAAAAATCGTCAGGTTCCTTTGCCACATCCTGTATTAACTGATACTTTTTACCTAACCTAACTTCTCTATCTTTACTGAATTCACTAATTCTAATTAACTCCATGCACACAAATCTATTACTGCAGTGAAGTTCTGTTTTCATCTATAAAGGAAAATCAAGTAAACGAACATCACCACCCTAGAAATTATGGAGGAAATGTGTACAAAATTTTAAAAAACTGTGCTACATGAAATAAGTATGTTACTGGATTTAACCTAAAACAATAACAATTCTCTTTCCTGAAATCATCCACCACTGCCACCTGAAGAACTGGTTGCAATCACAATGCTTCAACAGTTATGAGTTAATGGAAGGTATCAAAACATGGCTGAACTCACAGGTAGCACACTTCCTTGAACCAGGTATACAGAAACCTATTCCCCGATACAACAACTGACTCAATTCCGGTGGTGACTTTGTTGAGATGTAGCTGAAGTACATACATATTTTTTTTGTATATAATAGCATTTTTTCTCATTGCTTGTTTTGTTAACAGCTCACCAGGGGTTGCTTTCGAATAGCCCTCATGCAAATAATGAAAAATCTATAAGTACATATAATAAGGCATTGCTGCTTATATGAATGTCATTGCTAAAGTGTGTTGAACCCACTAAAGCAAAATTTCTGAACTTACCACAAAACTCACTACAGCAGAAAAGTACCAAGACTGATGACTGTAAGTACTGATGTTAACCTGGGCACAGTGCTGTCACTATTGATCCGTCCTTCTGGAAACAAAAGCAAATAATATATTAAATTTCTGCTGTAACTTTCCCAGTAGTACTAACAACTCGAAAGAAATATTTTTTTTTATTTCAATATATGTATAAGAACACAGAATATCAGAATAATTTTCACAAATACTGAACTACACTTCTGCATGAGACCCAGCAAAAGTCCCATGCATAAGCAATTTTTTAGTACACTGTTGCCTCCATTGTCCCATTTGTATTTTATGTATTTCATCTACTTCCTGGGTGCTAAACCCAATTCACGCCAGCATCTCCTTCACTATACTGGGTTTCTGCATCATGCCACTTTTCACAGCAATAATGTAGAAATTATCTACAACAGAGGACAGGCTGGTCCAATATTTGATGTAACAGTGGTGGAGGAAAAGGGGGGGAGTAGGAGAAGTAGAAAGATGATGACAAGGAGGATGACCAGGAGAAGGATAAGAATGATGATGACAAAGAGGAGGATGAAGATAGGAGCTGCAGCACAGAATTACAAGAAGAACTGGAAATTTTAGGATGGCTTCTACTTGCGGAGTAAGGAATATAAGACAATCTATCTTTAACCTATGGAACACTTAATATGAATATTGGAGAATATCAAAGAATATTAAAAAGTTTTATAGAGCAGACTTTGGTTGCAACTAAGGTGAGAATTTAAGATTGAGTTGCTGTATGTGTACTTTTTAAATGATGCAAATAAATTCTAAAAGGTTCAATGATGGTACTCGTATAGTACACTGGGAATAATAGCATTTCTGGATTTTTCTCATTGTTTAGTATTCTGAAGAGAACATATGGTTTCAGGAAATGGATCTGTTTCCATTCTCAGTTGAATGGATGAGAAAGTAACTTCTTAGTTAGGTCTATTAGAAAGAGTTAATCTCAATCACTGAACAACCTACGTCAGTCATCTAACTCAATGTAAGCACTTAAAATTAGATCCATCATACTGAAGTCACAAGCATGAAAGGACTTAAAACCTTTGATTGGATTAATTCTTTCCAATTTACCCAATTGAGTAAGTTCCTCCCTTCCTTCACACCTGACAGAGCTAGATGAAGTTTTTGGAGAACTGTGTTCTGCTTGGAATATCAGATGATGGAAACTCCAGAAACCCAACAGTACAAAAGGAAATAATATATAAAAATCACTGGTGGAGGTGACAAAAAATTCTTACTAAAATGGTTATCAGGCTAGTATACTTGTACTACATTATTTTGTAAAGTCATAACATTTCATTTGACCTACAAACTAGAGTCAGGATAACCTACCTTCCAATTTACTAGTTTCAGCAGTTGCCGCATGGCTTTCATTCTCTAAAGCAAATAATAACAAAAAAAATTAATAATAAAGTATACTGGCATTAATGAAACAAATTAAGAAAAGCACAAATTATAAAGACAATGCAACAATTAACACTTCTAATTAATCACAGCAGACCTCAGAAATGTACATCACATTGTAATGTTTTTGGAACAGTTAATGTCTCACTGTCAGTAGCGACTTATAATCTAGATGTCAGTTCTTTCTTGTTCACTATTTAACCAGCCACCACTGCACTGTCCTATTCTTCCATCTTTCACTAAGCTAACCTGTACTTATGTGAATTGGACTGTCAACACAACATAAAAAAGTATATCTTCAATGTGGAGACAAAATAGAAGTTGCTTATTTATTGTAAGCAGGTGTTTCGACCTTCACTTAGGTCATCATCAGGCAAATTCCACGAAATATAAACTAAGTTACTTGAATTTAGTTGCCCTAATATAGATCCATGTAGATCACAGTGGACGCACGGTCTAAGGCATGAACAGTCTTCGCCCGCTCGAACACTGGGTTCATGGTTGCTCTGTGTATATGTAGAGGCCTTGCAAAGGGCTGATCCTCCATCCAAAAAATCCTACTGACTATGTAAGATTAAGAAGTGAAAAGTGGCCAAGGCCCAACAAAGGGCTGTAGAGCCATAGACAGATAAATATGGCTCCACATTATGCAATTTTTTGTAGTTGTGATTATTAGCAATACATTTTAAAGAATGTAAACAACATATAAGCAAGTTAAAGCAAAGTAAGCTTGTTGTTAAAAGTTAAAACTTACTGTATATAGTCGGAATTAATAATTATTATTTATTAATATGTATAATACAACTAAAACTCATATAAAAGCTAAAATGCAGTTTATAACTCATTGTGTTAAATGTTTATTTTAAGTAATTCCTAATAAATCATCTCAAAGTACGTTATAATTAAACGCAGTTTTATTGGTGTTGTGGGGTCGTGGATTTTATAGGATCTGAAGAATCTGAAGACCACCTTAGGACACTAATATTTCATTCTTGTAATCATCAATTCGTCGGTTTCCAGTTAATAGAGCTTTCTAAATCATTCAGTGCCAGATATCACAGCTTTTATTGTAAAGTACTGCACGACAAAGAAGAGGCAGTTACCGAAAATTATTGGAGGAGAGAAAAGTATGTAGCACGTCCACAAAGTAAGTTTCCCACTCATCCCACAACTAGCAAACCTTATATTGCGGGAAGCGACCGCGCGTACGTGATAGAGCAATGACGTAGCATGGCGCATGCACAAACGGAATTTCCCGCGTTCCCACAGTAGCATCGTTGCAGCTGTTGAAGATGGAGGCTCTTATTCCAACTCCCGCCGACTGTGAAGTGCGGTCGGTGATGAAGTTTTTCAATGCACAGAGCATAGCACTGATCGAAATTCATCGTCAGCTGTGCCAGGTCTATGGGCCTAACGTCATGAGCAAGCAGATGGTACGTCGCTGGTGCAGACAATTTTCAGCAGGTCGACAAAGTGTGCATGATGAGAAGCGCAGTGGGCGGCCATCCATCATTACAGACGACCTGGTGGAGCTTGTGCGGGAACGCATTATGGAGAATCGTCGCGTCACAATTGCAGAACTCAGCAATCATGTCCCGCAGATTTCCCACTCCTTGTTGCACGAAATTGTCACGGAGCATCTGTTGTTCAGGAAATTGTGTGCCAGGTGGGTGCCGAAGCAACTGACACCAGAACACAAAACAAGGCGCATGGAGTCAGCACTGACCTTTCTGCAGCGGTACCGTGATGATGGCGACGAGTTTCTGGACCGCATCATTACAGGTGATGAAACGTGGATTGCATACATTACCCCAGAAACCAAGCAGCAGTCAATGCATTGGCGTCACAGTGGATCCCCCTGTAAGACGAAATTCAAGCAGACGTTATCGGCGCGGAAAGTGAGGTGCACGGTATTCTGGGACAGACGAGGCGTTCTCCACGTCGACTTCCTGACCAGAGGTGAGACAGTGAATGCTGAGCGTTACTGTGAAACACTGCAGAAATTGCGACGGGCCATTCAGAACAAGCAGCGTGGGATGCTTAGTGGCGGTATTGTCTTCCTGCATGATAACACTAGGCTGCACACAGCTCGATGGACAGCAAGTCTCCTGCAGGAGTTTAGCTGGGAGGTGTTTAATCATCCACCCTACAGCCCAGACCTCGCTCCCAGTGATTTCCATCTTTTCCTGCACCTCAAGAAATTCCTGTCTGGTGAGCGTCAGCATTTTGAGAATGATAGAGAGGCAGAGATGGTTGTCACACAGTGGTTCCAATCCCAGGCGGCAGACTTCTATGACACAGGTATTCAAAAGTTGGTCCCACGGTATGACAAATGTCTCAATTCCGGTGGCGATTATGTTGAAAAATAGCTGAACACTTGCTGTATCTGTTGCAATAAACATTTCCATGAAATTGTGTTTTGTTTCTGTAAACAGCCCCAGGGAAACTTACTTTCTGGACGAGCCTCGTAGTAAGAAGAAAAATATACAAAATACCCACTAAGACTCTGGAAGTGGCTTACCATGAAATTACTGTTTTCCATTAATTAATGATGACAGTAAGGCTTCTTAGCCACTATTACTCTGTATTGTTAATCATAAACCTGAAAATAATTTTGGAGAAGTACAGGCAATCTTCATTTATCTTAAATCATGATCAGTTATAAATGGTTTGGAAATGGATCACTTCTTCTCCACAAGAAGAATGGACTGTGAACCAAATGGAATAGTAGAGTTTGTGGGAGTGGATATGCACTCAAAATTTGGAAATCTTGTTTTATTTTTTCTTTCAACATAGACCATTGTTCTGATAATGTGCCATCATTACTTTGAAATTTAAAGTTCTTGATTTATTCTTCTTCTCAGTATACAGCTCTTGGACAACTTTCAATATTGTGACTTAGAGTCCTACTCCTATGCAACAGCTCAGTAAAACATTCCTGTGGAAGTGTATGCACAACAACAGGACATCCACTGCTAAGCAACAGATCAGTAAACAAACCTTCTCAATAATAGAGAGGCTGTGTTTTCTGCAGGGTTCATGCTGAGGGGTTATAAAGGCACAAAGAAAGTTGTGCAGTTACAGTGAGACTGGTATAACTACTCACACTGTGTGGAAATCTGTTGCCAGGATATGACTAGCAAAGACTAAGAACCCTAGTGCATAACAGTGAACTGTAAAGAATGTGGATTAGTGATAGCACTGCATTGCCTGTAGTCCCAAGTAGTGAATTTATAAGGTACAATAAATACAATCATCCATCCAGAATCTGTCTGTAAGTCATGCACAATCCCTGCACATGACAATATGATGTTTGGGTTTCCTTTTCATAAAGCACGACTTTTGTGCTTTTCATGCTTCTAAACTGATTTAGACAATTAAGTGGGTCTCGGCAGTTTTGGCCCAATCCTATCTGGCTGATGCCCAGAGGTCTGACTTCTATTACCGGTACATGTTATTCGTGTACAGTGATCCCTATTTAATAGGGGGGTTACATTCTCTAATTACACCACAGATATAAAAACAATGTGGTACATGGACTTCATTATTGTGGGAAATAAGGAGTTAAGGGGAATAAGTCCCAAAATTGTTACAAAAGCTCAAGGTTAAAAAGAAACAAGTACAGTATGTACATACTCATATATGCTATTAGGTAGCAGCTTTTATGTATACCTATTATACGTACATACTCGTATACAAAATCTTCTTCTATTCATGGAATATAGCTTTTTTTTTAAACAGCATGTGCACTTTCTGGCATGCTTGCTTCATGACTAGCCCTGGTGGCTGCTTGATTTGTTTTAATAGTTCTGACAGAGGATTCATTAGCAAGAAATGCCTTCCAACAGATGCTACACTTTCACCACACCCCTTTTATCAAGAATGCCAATTTTCTGTTCTAGAGTCATTACTTTTCTGTGATATTTTAGCAGTAGCATCACTATATTTATGTTCTGAGGCAATATTTTTGGACAAAACTATATAATACTTCATATTTAAAAGAAAAAGAAAGAAAAGCAAGGTTATTATGAGTCTGTGATGGCTGGACCACACTACCCAGCACAAGTATTCTCACAGCAAGTCACGGCATCACTGTGAGGATGGGCACTGGGTGTGGGTATGTTGTGAACTCAATTGCACATACATCTGTGCTATTTGATCTGCACATGCACACAGGCTGACCAATGGATAATTAACTGTGTGTCATATATAATGGGAGTCTAAATATAAATCATGTACAATCAGAATGTGTTCATCAAACCCATGTAAACAAAGGATTATTATGCACATTAGGTGAGAACATAGCAATGCATGATCAGTATTCTATGCTTGTTACCTTGAGTTTGGAGGTTTGTGTTATTGCATTTAATAAGTGATTTACATATGTTCAATGTTATGGCACCTGAGCATTGTGTTATAGGAATACTGTCGCATGAGCCGAGTGCTGAGGAAGCACATGCATACAGCTCTCTTGACACTTCCAGAGGCCCATGTGAACCCAAGAGATGCTTCTAGGTTGTGTTTTGTTTGAACGTGTTGTCACTTAGTGTAATGCGTGTTACTTGTCTGTTGTGTCCTATTGTGTACTACTGCCACCGGGCTAAAACCCAATTGCAGTATAATAAATAATGTAATCATGTTTACCTCTAGAAGCATGGTTGCGAAGTATGACAGTCACTGTGAGCTTAGAAGGGGTGCAGGGCAGCCATGTGTCTAGAACTATGCAGGAAGCCAAAAACTTCTGTGACTCAAGCTAGTTCAGTGCAAGATGCAGGAAGAGGAAAGGGCAGTGACATAGATGAAATCACAGTCAACAAACACAAGCTAACATCAAGATTTGAAATGGCTACTGACAGTGAGATAGCGACTATTCCAAAAGACAATATACATCTCAATATTTTACTTTAGAATTATATTCAAATGGTTATTATTAGCAATTATTATGTTATGAATTTGTTTCAGGTTGTGGTTTTAAATTGTTAAAAACAAACGTACACGTTATAAAGTCTGCAGACATGCAGCCTTCTTTGTTTCACAATTTGGTTTCTTCTACAAAATCATTTTCTTTACAGGACCAAACTTGTCCAAGGAACAGACTCTCTATGAACATCCCAACACATGAAAACAATCTGTATTTGCAAATAACTAAGGTAAAAAGCAAATGGGGCTTTTAATACATACTTATGGTAAAAGAATGTGGTTTTGCCTGAATCGTCCACCCATAAAAATTTCTTGCTCGAAGTGTCACTATGAAGTCTCCTGGTGGAAGATCTTTTAACTGATACTGAAGTTGATAAACATTGCCTTCTTCTCCATCCTGCACAGGTGTTGCTATCACTTGCCATTTCCCAGGTTCCTGGAAAATATCATCAAATGGACACAGTGGGACCCACTGGAAAACATTTCTCTGCCTAAGATATTCAAATCAGTTGGTCCCAGAAATGTTCTTTTTAGACTAATTTATCTATTTATTTACTTGTATTATATTTAATACTGTTCCCTTAGCTCTGAGTATACACCACTGAATGACAGAAAGGCTAGCCATTAATGAATTGGAAAGAAAGTGGCCTTAACCTACTTTAAGGTAATATTACTTCATTTTCCAGCTGACTGAAAAGAACAATAAGAAACCAAAATCATGACAGTTGGTGTCCTGACCTTTACTTGAACCAGGCAACACACAAACACAGGTTATAAAATCAATATCTGGTAGGTATAATAATAAGGTGGACATACAGTTTCTAAAGATAGATGGGAAACTTACGGACAATCGCTTGATGATTGCTGAGTCTTTGAACAAATATTTTCTAACTATAGCTGATAATATTAAAAGGGTAATGAATGGACATGTTATTGGGACTGATTCAGCTAATCATGCAAAATATATGAATCAAGCCTTCATTAGACCATTCCCTAAAATTCACTTAAATCAGACTACATATAAGGAAATTGAAAGGGTAATTGGGTCCTTTAAACCCAAATCCTCTAATGGATATGATGAGATCTCGGTTAAAATTTTAAAACGCAGTGAACCATTTATTAGTTCTCCACTAGCCTATATTTGTAACAGAGCCTTTGTAACTGGTGTTTTCCCCACCAGGTTAAAATATTCAGTAATAAAGCAGTTATTCAAAAATGGAGATAAAACCAATATGTGTAATTACAGACCGATATCATTAATGACATCTTTCTCCAAAGTTTTTGAAAAGATTATTTATATAAGAATGCACCGACATGTAATGAATACTAATATACTAGCTAAAGATCAGTATGGTTTTAGGAGTAAACCATCAACTGAAATAGCCACATATGAACTAGTTAATGAAGTATTAAATGCTTTGAACAGTGGTATGTTTGTTGGTGGTATCTTTTGTGATCTCAAAAAGGCCTTTGATTGTGTTAATCACGATATATTACTATCGAAATTGGAATTTTACAGCGTGGCTGATAAGGCTGGTGCTTTGATTAAGTCGTACCTTGCTGATAGGCATCAGAGAGTTGTTGTGAATAACGGTCTGAGGTACTCAGAATGGGGGAAAATTAAAAACGGAGTCCCCCAAGGTTCGATTCTGGGTCCTTTGTTGTTTTTGTTGTATATAAATGACTTGCCCTATACCGTATTGAACAAGTCCAAACCCATTATTTTTGCTGATGATACTAGCATAGTCATTACTAACCCTAGGTCTGCTGATTATGAATTCAAGGCTTCTTTAATATTTAAAAACATAAATGATTGGTTTCAAGATAATCTATTACATTAAATTTCGAGAAGACACATTTTATTGAATTTTTGACTAAGAACGACCAGCTGATGGATATTCATATTGATGATGAGGATGACGATCGGATTGTTAACACTACAAATACTAAATTTCTGGGGCTTATTATTGATAACACATTGTCTTGGAATGGACATGTGGATTGGTTAATGTCTAGATTGGGCTCCGCATGTTACGCAATTAGAGCCCTAAAATCTTACATGTCTCAGGGTACATTAAGAATGATTTACTTTTCTTACTTCCATTCAATTATGACCTATGGTTTGATTTTTTGGGGAAGTTCCCCTTATAGTATACATATCTTTAGGATGCAAAAAAAAAGGGCAATTAGAATTATAATGAACTCTGGGAACAGAGATTCATGTAGGGAATTGTTCAGGGAACTGGAAATTTTACCCCTTCAATCTCAGTATATATTTTCTCTTGCAATGTTCGTGGTTAATAATAAAGATCAATTTAAGTTAAATTCTGAGTTATATAATAGGAATACAAGATATAATAATAAATTCCATTATCCTATATGTAAGTTGACTGTATTTCAGAAAGGAGTGTGCTACAATGGGATTAAGGTTTTTAATTGGCTTCTTCCTAATATAAGGAACTTGGCTCAAGATGTTAAACATTTTAAAATTGTTTTAAGAAGATTTTTGTTGATGAACTCGTTTTATTCCTTGGAAAAATACTTTGACTGTAAATTTGACTCCAATAATTAACTGTGATCTATTATGGTATTGAATAATGTAATGAATCTTATATTAACAATCAACAATCAACTAACTAAGACCTTAATCTTATATTGTTATTTCTATGTAGTGTTATTTGTACTATCAATGACTAATTCCTTATCCTATACGTAGTGGATTTATGGAATGTAAATAAATGGGATGAGATGAGTATGGAATTTCAGAAGGAACAATATGCTGCTGGTTGAAAGAAGAAAACAAACTGCATTCATCTGTTGATTCCATAGAATTCATATGACTGTAAAGGAAGAATGACTATACTTCATGAAAACAATTATGTAGATGAGTGTTTGCCAAAGTGGTTCCTACAAAAGCATGGCGTACAGATGGCATAATTTGAAAGTTCAAACAGTTCAGTTTAACAGTTTACTCAACATGGTTGAGACATACAAAACTTCTGAAGGATGGCTTTGAGGTGGAAGGTTTGACAGGTGAACCTGCACCTGGTGATAGTGCATCAGCAAAACAGTTATGTGAAACTCTACATACAACACCTCAAAATGATGAGTACATTGAAGTTCAATTGTTCCATCATGATGAAATGGCACTATACTACGAACTGCTCCAAAACAGATCATTAGATCTTGAAAAAGTACCCAGCATATGGGATATGAAAACTAACAAAAAGTGAACCTGTTACTGTGTTCCAGTAAGACTGGAAATCACACGCTGAAACCAGTGCCCATCAGCAAAAACCCTAGTCCCTGGTATTTCAGGCACATAAACACATTAATTTTAATTTTGTGCATCCTGCCGTGTTACAATATATACAACCTCTTTATTTGACCGTCACAACACAGCAAGTATAGAACTTCGAGGACAATGGTCAGTATAGTTCTGCTACATGTTTCAGCCATGAGTGGCCATCATCAGGCAAACACACTTCAACAAACATACACCACTGAACTGCAGTATATAAAATTTGATACAATGTTATAAATCATTTGAGATAAATTGCACAAGAATACAATAAGTAAGTTATTTAAAACACTAACAAGTCATATATAAAAAATTAAAATTTGATTGATGTTTAATAACATCGAATCGGTCGTTGGTTTTACTTTTCATACATTTCTGTTGACGAATAGTAAATTCGAGTTTCTTATAAAATTGTGTAGGAGGTCCAATAATGTTGTGAAATAATTAATGGAATAGTTGGGGCTTCATCATATGGAGAATTGTACGTATTGTATGGAAAGCAATCAACTCATGGCTGAAACATGTAGCAGAACTATACTGAGCATTGTCCTTGAAGTTCTATATTTTCTGTGTTGTGACGGTCAAATAAAGAGGTTGTATACATAAACACATCTTCAAGAACAGTTCCAGTGCTTGGATGAAATGTGACATTTTTGCCTGCAGGTTTGAAACTGAATTTATGCCATCAGTAAGAAATCACTTGCATTCCAAAATATGTGAAAAGAAGGCTTTTCTTTTTTCTGTTGGATCACTGTCCAGTCCATCTTTCTGCTGATGTCCTGATATTGAAAGCTGGAAAGATTACATCTACATATCTGCAAAAGAATACAACTGCAATGACTCAGTCAACTGATCAAGGCATCATTCAAGCCTTCCAAGCCTACTACTGCTGCTGCAAGATACTTGGTGGAGTTGTAAATAACTGCAAATTATGGAATTTCTGAAGACATCAGTGCCAAAGGTTGTTGCATACAGTTTTGTTTTAGCTTTAGGGAAATTAGGCAAACTATTACTTTAAATTTCTAGAAGAACTGTGTTGGAAAGCATAACATCTTGAAAGACAAGGTGAAGTTAACCCTTTTGCGCGGTGATTTAAATTCCGTGGCCGTCTCTCTGGCGGTAATATATTCAGCCGGCCATTTAAATTTTGCTCGAAAATGATTTATTCATCATTGTTCTTAAATTATATGAGATAGGAACATGAAACTTTCACTAAAATGATCTTAAAAGGTGGTTTTATAACCTTACCTTATAATATGAGTGCCCTGTATCTCGGCAATGGAAGCAGGTTGTTTCGTATTTGAGCAGTGAATGGTACGCCTTGAAGCATGAAACTTTCATTAAAATGATCTTAAAAGATGGTTTTTATAACCTTTCCTTATAATATGAGCACCCGGTATCTCAGCGATGGAAGCAGGTGTTTAGAATTTGAGCACTGTAAGGTAGGCCTTGAAGCATTCTTCTAACACAACGCTGCCCCACATTCACCGCTCCAATATTGTGTATCTTTTCTTTGGCGATTTTTTTAACCACACATCTTCTGTGCGGCTTTGCCTTCTTCCCCATTAGGGGTATACGTTCAAGGAAATGTCTTTCCGTGAGCTGTTTAGTTGCCAGGTCAGCTGTAGTAAATTCAATGTTACGAGTTATCATAACAAGGGGTTGTTGCTATGCCTTTGATATTCCATCCATTTTGGCGGCAGTAGATGTCGTAGGGGTGACCACAGAATTCATGAAGTTATTCTAAGAACTGACTGGTATGTAGTGCA